CTTCTAACATTTATAGTCCTTTCCAATAATTTTTTATATGTATATACAAATATATACTGTCTTTAATGTTATATAGTATCTATATAGTACATACTGTATGTACTGTCTCTAAAGGGAAACAAGGATGGAGCATTAAGAATTTTTCCTAGGATCTTGTGATAGTTTAACCTATAACTTTGAGCCAAACAGGCAACGGTAAGAGTCAGAGTTTCTTTCCAAAGGCCAGATGACATCTTGCCAGTGATGGCTAGACTCTGAACATGTTGCTATGGGATCTACAACCATAGGTTCAATCTTACTATAGATTAGCAAGTTGTGCTTCAACACATGACCAATGACTGTATTCCAGAAATATATATACAGAAGGTGCTCAATAGTTATGCACTGAGATGAATTGAATATTTATTATTATTCATCATAGATAATAGGCAAAATGTTTACAGAAAGTATATCTGCATCACTATTCCCAGTGGAGAAAAGGTAATACAATGTGATCTAGATTTTTATCTTACTATAAATGGAAGGCTAAATTGTAATTCTACAAACATACACCAGATTATTAGCTCTGCAAATGAAAGGATCATATCTTATTTATATGCATATCCACATAATACCTACCACAGACCCAGATGTATTTGAGTTGCTGATATTTTTTGAATTGAATTATATTTATGTGAAGATTCCTTTTGCTAGTGTGGCGTAGGAGTTAAGATGTTGACTAGCAATTCACCATTCCTTTCCCTGAAAGCTCTATAAATCAAGCTCTTAAAAAAGCAGCTAGTTAAATTCCAAAACCCTCTATGAGAAGAAATGCCCATGGCTGGTGGGGTCTGGACTATGTCCACCATATGTGCAGATCTCTTCTGCACAAACATCGCCTGCTCCCAAGGGAGTGCATGACTAACTGGCTGTGGAGACTCACACATCCCCTGTTTCCCAATGACCAGGGGGTGGGCTCAGGGGAAAGAATTGGAAGTTGAGTAATGAAGCATAGTTGAACTAAATGTTCTTCTTTTCCCAGGAGAAAGAAAGTCTCACAATAAGAAATGGGCTGGCACTTTTCTAGAGAAATAACTGTGAAGAACAGGGGATCCACTTGAAAATGCTATATTCTGAGTGGGAGTTTCTCTTTCTCTCTGTTTTCCTCTTTAAAGAACTTTTCTCAGAGTAGTTTTAGGACCTCAGCAAAATTGAGCAGAAGGTAGAGAGATGCCCTATATGTACAGTGCTCCTATACATTTACAGTCTCCTCCGTTATCAACATCCCCAACTAGAGTGCTACATTTGATGAACCTAAATAGACATATTAACATGAAAAGTCCATAGTTCACTAGTTCTGTCGTAGAATTCACTAGTGGTGGTATCCATTCTACAAGGCTGGGCAAATGTATAATAATAATAGGTATACACCATTATAATGGATTGGTGCTACTGGAATGGCCCTGCCACAGCTGGGCTGGAATGCCATGAACAGGGATCAAAGTTCAGTAAGCAAAGTGGGATATGACTTGAGGATTGATTGGGCCAACTTGCTCACTTTTTCTGAATTTACCCATGAGTACTAACAAATAAAAATAAGAGTTTGCTAATAGGATCCTTCCCTGATGCACTAATCAGGGTTTGAAGAAACTGGAATAGAAAATATTGATTTTTTTTCCTCTGAGGCAACCAAACTCACTAATCCTATAAACTCTTAACAAACCCTCGTGAAGGTTTAATCACAATATAAATTCCACAAATTTTTATTCGCAGTGTTTGGTTATCAATTGTGCAAGTCTCCATAGTGGCAACCAATATGATTCCCAGATCTGTCTCCATTAGATATTCCAGGGGCTTGCTGGCAGTGTCTATCAGATTGGTATCCATCTAGCCTTGTAAATTCTTTCCAGGGGAGACTTAGGATGACTCCAAGCGGCAATTGCTCTACTTATAAGGTGCAGAATTTATTACCACAAAGAAAGATAAAAAGGTGGCTACATTTTTAAGTGCTTTTACATACAGTGTCTTTATTGGAACTTGATGTATCCAGAAATACAGCTATTTGAGCCTATGTGTTAAATCAGTAGAACTTGTTTTAGCTTCCTATGGACTTCTTTGAGTCCTGCTGCCACAGGTATCAACTGCCATAATTTTAAAGGACGTCATTGACAGTAACTCTCATATTGGGAGAACAAAGCCATGAAAACTTTGGTCTTTAACTTATACATGGCCAAGAAAAGGGATGTAGAGGGTTGATAAGGAAGCTAGGTTTGTCCAGCTCTACAAATGAAGCCTATCTAGTTATCCAAAGACTATTTTTTTTCTAGTCTGTTTTTTTCTCTCAATTTCCCCCAGAGGCCCATTTTTATCTCCAAGCAAAATTTGCCTTAAGCCACAACAAAGACCTAAAAGGGTACTGAAAGAAACAGTGTGGTACAGTGAAAAGAAAGTAGGATTTAGAGCTGGAAAACCCAGACAGTTCTAGCTCTTACTGCTTATTTGAGACACCTTGGATGTTCACTTAATAACCTTCTAGAGTTTTGGTTTCTTTTCCGCAAAATACATTTAAAAAGTTGTATTTACTTCACTAGGTTTCCTTCAGAACAATTATGACAAATGACAATTATCTTGTTTATATGTTTATTTCCCATTTCTCAGTACAATGCACTACATCAGTGATGGTGAACCTTTTAGAGCTTTCAATAATACAAACAGCCCTGGGGCACTCATGCCTTAGGTTCGTCACTACTACACTACATTATAAACTCTAAGCAACCTTGATTTTTGGTTCACCACAGTGGCCCATTGCCAAGAATAGCAATAAACCCATAGTATGTGATCAGGAAGAGTAAATGAAATTTCAATGAAGGAAAAAAGAAAAGAAAGGAAAGAGAAAGGGCACAAGGAAGGGGTAACAGTTTTTGTAGCTTTGTTGATGTACCATTTATAAAAATGACTTCTAAATTATCCACATTATTATTAAAAAGTGATAACTAACATTTGATGCATTAATTATGCTAATGTGATCTTTTAAAAATGTAAGCGAGATCATGTTATCTCTCTGATTGAAGCCATCTCATGGCTTTTCATACTAAGTACAAAAGCTAAACTGCCTGGCATGATCTGACTCCTGTCTACTTCATTTCCAACCAGTCTTCTCCTTCCATGCCATGCCCCAGACATTTTAGTGTTCTTGTGTTTCCACAAACATGCCAAGTTTGTTCCTGCACTGGAGCCTTTGTGTTAGTCTCTTCTGTGAAATCCACATAACTGGTTTTTTTTATTATCTTTGGGCTCTGGACTTCCTGTCACCTTAGAGAAATCCTTCCTGTAAAGCCACTCTAGAGAAGCCCTGACAGTACTCTATTACTTATTTATTTATTTATTTATTTGTTTATTTATTATTAGCCTCCTCCTCAGGGCCTGATGTTCAATAGCATATTTATTTCAAATAGAATATGTAATTTTATAGTTGCTTAATGCTTACATTTCATAGATACTTTTCCAATTATTTTGTTTCCCCAAATATATGAGCTAAGACAAACAAAACAAAATGCTGTAGTTTCAAACTGAAAACTTCTATGCCACCCTTCCCCACCCCACCCTTACACATATACTTTCAGAGAGGTATTTTTATTCTGTAAATGAAAGCAACTGTGCCAGTTAGTTTTAATATTTATGATTTAACTGGAGTCAGAGTCATGTATACCCAGTGGTACAATAATTACTACATACTCTAACCTGTAGAGGTTATTTTGAGACATGGAGTCAGGGCTGTTGGGAACCAAAGTGTTTCTCGCTCTGGGCTCTGAAGTCTCCTGGCTCAGGGTCTGGAATGTGGAAGGAGAGGGGTAGAAAAAGGGAAAAGGAAGCAAGTGGCAGGAACATTCATTGTTATGGTTTGGATTTTTTTCTAGACTAAACCAAGGCACAGGAACAAGGTGGAGGAATGGTGCTACATCCTCTTTTTCCTACCATGGTCTAGGCTATCAGTTCCTCATTAATGGCACAGAACTAAATCATATCAAATAACTCTGACAACCTCCCCAACTCTGACATTCTGTGAGTTAGTTAGAAGAGTCTGATCTTTTGTCATGACCATGATGTCTGTGTAAAAGAATAACCCATATAATATTTCTAAAAAATATAGCTTCCCTGAACTATGTGGGATTTCTCTGATTGGCCAGTAAGGTCATTAGACAAATCCGGAATTCTGGTTTTGGCATTATATTTTCTTTTTCCTTTACTTTCTTAGAGAAATTGGTGTTATGGATAAATCCTACCCTTGTCACATGGGAATCAACATCTAACATAAGTGTACTTCGGCCACTCCCTAAGAGATGGGCACTATGTATGACCTTGGTTAATACTACTCTATATGCTTTCAATATGTTGCAGTTGACATTAACTAATGTATACTATTAGCATTTAAAAAAATGTGGAGCTGGGCTTGGTGGTGCATCCCAGCACTTGAGAGGCTGAGGCAGGAGGATTTCTGCAAGTTCATGCCCAGCCTGGTCTACATAGTGAGTTTACAGCCAGCAGGCTGAATTACATAGTGTGACCTTGCCTAAAAAAAAAAACACCTAGAAAAATTCACTCCCAAGCAGAGTTCAAACAGGCCACAAGTAGATTTGGAATCTTGATTGCACAAGGTCTATTCTTTTTTTTTGAACTCGGGACCTTGTGCTTGCGAGGCAGGTGCCAGCACCACTGAGCTAAATCCCTGGCCCTAAGGTTTATTAAAATAATAGTGATAAATATATAAATATATGTGTATATTAACACATTATAAGTATGTGTGTCTATACATAGATGTGTGTTTGTGTGTGTGTGTGTGTGTGTTGAAGGCAGAAGTCTGTAAAATGAGTCAAGGGAACAAAGACAAGAATGCTTCTGTCGGATTTCTTAAATTAATTGACAACAGTAAAAGAGAAATATTCTCCTAGTGTGGAAAAAGGCATGATTAAAAGAACTAAATGATATGGAAAATGAGTTGAGAATCTTTATCTCACGCTTACTGGTAATGGGTTAAAATTCTGGTCCACCAGGTGATTGTATCCATGGTCAAAAAACGAGTGCCGTATCACAACATCAATGCCCTGATTGGCCAGCATTCCTAAAGTATTCAGCCATCTAAAAGGTAGGGGGATAAAAGCTCTGTCAGTACATTTTAAAAATAGCATATAACAAGGTCTATTCATATTAGGCACAGCCTACACATATATATCAACAATCCACCATCAAATTTACCTAATATTTTAAAGGAGAAAACTTTTAAGTATTGAATCCACAAATGTGAGAGATTTCAAAGATGATCAAATCTAATCTCTTTGTTTTACAGGAAAAAGTCAGGGAGTAAAATGAATGGCCTTTGGTCATAAAATTATTGTTGCTTATTTAATAAATCAGACTTACCTTCTATGCCTAGAATATTACAAATGAATACCCTAGCCACTCATAATGTCATCCTAATGTCATCCTCCCTGGTCACAGGACCATCTATCATAGGAGCATATGCTCTATAAATTCCATCTTAAATCCCCTGTCACTGTACCTTTCATGAGACTCTAACCCACACACATCTATGACCTATGCACGAGTAGTCCAGTCATTTGCATCCTTCATATATTACCATCAGCACTCAGTTCCATAATTTCCTTGGCACTATAATTAACTATTCAGGATTCAGGTATGCTACCACCACACATATACTGCAATGGAAGACTGCTTTCCTCACATACTTCCAGGGCATGTCATCGTTTAAAACTACTGCCCTCTACGTTATTCTAACACTCATTGTTGACTGCCTTTGCTACTTACACATTCAATTCATTCATCCATTCATCCATTCTTTTTTACCTCTCTTGCTCTGTATTCCTACTGTTGAAACTTACATAAACTTCTAACTATGACAATACAGTACATGCTTAATAAATGTGACATAGAGCTTCAATCTTCATATGAAAGATAAGGCATTTCACAGTCTGTCCAAAATGGATATGTATGTGCCTTGATCTGTCACCTCATCTCGTCTTTCCTCTCACCCTAAACCCCATTATTCATAGGCTCCAAACCAAATAAAACTGCTCTTGATTACTCAAATACACCATACTTTCTTGTATTTTCTGGAAGTTTTATATATATTTTAACTTTTGCTTAGTATCCCCTTTCTGTCCTCCTCTAACCCATTTCTTTTCATTTGGTGAATTTATTCCTGCCCATCAATCTCCAAATCAGGTGTCTTCTTTTTGTAAGAAAGAACACAGTCTTGCCCCAGACAACAGTAGAACCTTCTGCTATACATCCCCAGAGCTTTTATTTCATACCTTCTACTAGCCCATTACATCACAATCACTTATTTTTCTATCTTCTCCTATCAGTTATGAGTTCATCAAATACAGACACAATGGTTTAACTTTTATCCCAAACCCCATCATTGTCAGACTGTAGATTCTCATTTTAGGTTGAAATTTATCTGGATAAAATCAGATTCTAGGAACTTTGAGAATCATCATTCAGTACATGGGAAAAATTACATAGTTATGATTTCCCAAACCTGAAAACATATACAGCTCTAAACCCATGATTTATGGAAGAATTAATTTTTTTCCTTGCTGGAATAAAGTGCATTGTTAATTTTTATATAATAAATAAATACTCATATTTTCAAATCTTTTTCACATTTACAATTTTATTTTAGTCTTATAAAACTAATACTAACAATTAGAGTTACAGAAACAAAACAAAAAATAAAGCAAAACACAAAAAACAAGTTTTAACTCAAAAGCAAAATCTGACGATAACATAGCGGAACCTTTTTTTGTAGTTGCTTTTGTTCAAATTAGGCATTGTGAACCAGAAAATTTAAATTATTCTTTTAACATTGCATGAATAAGTTACTTGCCTTTATTATTTTTATTAATTTGGCTACCCTGTCAAATCAGGATGATGGGTCTAGCTTTTCCTTTAATATGGAAGTACAATAATAAATAACTTGTCAAAAGATGGACATCTTTTATAGTAGAGCTATAACATGAATTTGGACTAGTGCCTCCAAAATCACAGCTTTTCTATGTTGAAACAGTACAAATACAATATGGTCTATATCTAACAAGTATTTTGTCTATAAAAGTTGATATGTCTTTTTTACCTTTCTATCCCTATACTTGCTGAAAGAACAAACAAAATGATGAGTTAACACATAATTATATATATGTAACCCCCTCCATTTAGCAACATCTGTATAATAAGACCACATCTTGGCATTTTTATATGTGAGAAGATCACATTTGTTCACTTATTTGTTATTTATTCAGTAACATTAATTAATCAACAATAAAGGCTAGCCATTTTTCTGTTTCGAGGATACATACAAAAATGCTGAGTGACCAGGTAAATCAGTGGGAAAGAACTGGGCATGAAAATACTTGTGTATATAAGATTTACAAGAACTGTATCAAATGGTGGTGCACACCTGTAAGCACAGCACTCTGGGAAGCTGAAACAAAAAGATGACAATTTCCAGCCCTGTTTAGGAAACTTGGTGACTTAGTGAGAACTTGTCTCAAAATGAAAAATAAAAACAGAACTGGGCATAGCTCAGTGTGAAGACTCTGAGTTCAATATTCAGTATCACAATGAAACAAAAACAAAATCTTATTTGTGCTCTCTATAGAGCCTAACACAATGGCTTGCATAGACTAACTATTCAACAAGTAAACATCTGTTCTTATTCTTGCTAGCATATGAACAATTTTTGAAGAAAACTCTAAAGTGAGATGAAAGAATATACATCCTTCTCTCCAAATCCAAAACCCTATGCTCATGTCCAGAATCTAGAGGATTCAAAAATGAGCTTGGCCAGGGCTACTGGTACTCTGTGGCTTTCAGAATAAAATGGTTAAAACTGAAGTTATCTTCATCTTCCTTTTTTTTTTTTTTTTGCTTAAATTCCTTTATTGGTACATTTTAGGTATACAATACATTACATTTATCATTGGGTGCTTATACCTGTACACGATGTGTCTTGGTTCTTATTTTTCCCCCATTACCTGTGTGCCCTTCCCCCTCTCCACCCTTCCCTATTTACAAAGACTTGGTTTCCATTTTTTCCTTTTCTCATAATTTTTCCTTTCCCTTCTTTCCTTTCCCCTTCCCCTCCCACTTCTCCTACCCCTTTGGACTTTTTCTTCCTATTTCAAATTATCAATTATTCATTTTAAACATTTTAATTCTTATTTACACTTTGAGTTTCTCACACTAGAGAAACTATTCGGTATTTACACGTGCATCCTATTTATTTCACTTAAGAGTATGTCCTCAATATGCATCCATTTAGCAATAAATGTCTCTAGTTTCTTGTTCTTTATGGCTGAGTAGTACTCCATTTTATAAAAAAATCCACATCTTCTTTATCCAGTTTCCAGTTGATGGGGATTTGGGCTGTTTCCAAGCTTTAGCTATTACAAACTGTGCCTCTGTAAACATGGGTGCACATATATCGTTGTGGTATGATTCTTTTAATTCTTTTGGGAAGATATCTAGCAGGGGAATAGCTGGGTCAAATGGGACCTCTAGTCCTAGTTCTTTGAGGTATCTCCATACTGATTTCCACAGTGATTGCACCAGTCTGCACTCCCACCAACAGTGGAGAAGGGTTTCATCTTTCTCTTACAATAATAAACCTGCAGGGAGGGGGAACTAGTCTTCTAAGACTATCTTCTTTGCTCATGTAGAGAATAAAGCAGGTAAAATGACTCATATATCCCACCAAGGACACTATTCTACCCACTATTTTCCACCCCATAAATGTTTATTTAATATCTAATATGTCCCAGGCACTGCTAAGTGCTGAAGTCATTCATCCCAACCATAGTCATCGAACAACTCTGTGCCACACAATGTTAGATGCTGAAGATACAGAAATAGACTTAAGGTATGAGTATGAATGACACTGACTCATTATCTTCATCTGCATTTGACAGGATTCCATTTGCAAAGGCAATCTATTTGGCTGGTCTGATTTGTCCATCACAATTGTATTAAAGAAGCTGTGTCAGTGGAGTCAACTTCATCCATATAATTAGGAATAGCTGTTGGTAGCAAAACACATAAATAAGGGCAAAGCTACAGTTCTTAGAAGGGCAATGCTGAGCCAAAAATCCCCGACCATAGTAGTACACTGAGTCAGGAGTTTGCCTTCTGTCACATGACACAGGCAGGCCAGACTTATGCTGGCCTTATACTTCTTGGTAACCTATTCTCCAGATGACTACAAATTCATTTATTCATTCCCTCAAACTCCTATGCATATTATGTTCAAAGAAAAAGGTTTAAAACAGGTCAAACTGTACATCTCTTCTCTTCTAAAATTTTTGGTGGCTTGTTACGCTTATAGAACATAGACTTTTTTCATCTACCTGTTTTTTAGGACCTTCCACGATATGGTGGTAAACTCCCTAAGTCTCAGTTCTCATTACATCCTGGCATATAACAAGGCTTTAGTCATTGCCCTCTCCACTGTGCCTCTACCTATAATGTTTCTTTGGTCTGGAATACCTCTCTTTGTCATCACTACCATTCTCCACCTATAGAAACTAGAGTAATTTTTTACAGTCCAGTCAAATGCCACTATTTCCATGAAGCCCTTCCTGATATTCCCAGTGAAAACTTTTCTTTATTTCTTTGGGTGTTGATCACTTTCTTCTTGTGGAGAAACCATTTGAAAGAGAAATGGTCAACTACAGTGATGAAGAGGCTAGACTCTGGAGCAGGCTGCCTAGTTTGGATCTGAGTTCTGCCACTATCTGAATGACCTTGGGTGAGTTACTTCAACTCTTTCCATTTCTTTAAATGTAACAAGAAATCAATAATAGTGTCTATTTCACTAGCTTACTATTAAAACAACAGCAATGATTTCCTTGGTTGTTAAATTATTAAATAATATAAAGCACTTTAGATAGTGTTTGGTGTGTGGTAAATGATATATAGCTTAAAGTATTATTATGTGGTATTTATCTCCAGCAGTTTACAATGTAGTTAGCTATTTTCCTAGATCCTCCAATTATATATTTCAGGAGGGAAAAGTTATCTATCTTCCAAAATTATGCTAAAAATTGATAAGAAAATGTATATTGTTTAAATTGCAGACTTGCTAAATAAAGTTCTTCTTTTTATTATTGTTACTGTTACTCTTCCTCTTATCTTTGTTCTGATGTTCATGTCCCACTTTTAGTATATAGAGATGGCACTAATAATTGTTTGTTAATGGTCAAAACACTTACAAATAGTTGATGAACTTTCAAAGAGAAACAAGCTTTGCCCTCCAATGAGCAATATAACCACCATGTCAGTTTCACTGTCCTTTCCTGAAAGTCCAGGGGAGGGAAACTGCAAATGTTACTTACAAGAATCCTGCAGCATAGGAATCCGATAGATTATTTGTGCCTCCAGCTGAGGTGGTCACTACACCTTCAAGCCAAATCTTCTTTCCTGGAGTGTATGTATTAACCACCTGTTCATACAATAAAAGCAGAAGGGGATAATGAGGAGTTTTTGTTTGTTTGTTTGTTTGGTACTGGGGAATTAAACTTATGACTTTGAGCTTGCCAGGCAGGTGTGGCACCACAGAGCTAAATCCCTGGCCCTAGGGATAAGGAGGTTTTAAAAGATGTTCCCAAGTGAGAAGCAACATGCATTCTCTAAAGAAGGTGTTTCTAATTCCCCGCTCAGAAGTAGTTATGACATGTGTTTTTTTCATCATGATGGTGCACCTGAGAGTGAGCTGGCATACACACACACATGCACACTTGGATACACACACACGTGTGTGTGCATGGGTACCCATGTGAGTGTTAATACTGATACATGTCCACTTATAGGAAGTATCACTTTTCCCCAAATAAACCCAAGTGACAATGTGACAGAACAAGTGTATATTCTAGGATGTAAGGTAATTTTAGGGGTGCAACAATCTTCATTGAAAAATGGAAATCATGTTTTTCATATTAGAAAGTATTAAGAGTTTTTTTCAGGGCTCCGTTATGGCACTTGTATGATAACTTAATGCATCAGAAGTCATGAAATATGATAGGGGAGAGAGCAAATGTTTTGGAGATGTACTTTATAATGATCATGGCATATATATTGCAACCACATTTTGAAAATAACTGCAATAATGGTAAAAAGAAGTCATTGACCCACAGGTCAGATCTGACAGGAGGAGGAACTACAGCTGCATGCCTTCCAAGTAGAGGCAAAGCCTCTTGTCAAAATATGGCCCTCTAAAGTTTTGAAATGGTCCAGTCTCTGATCCACAAGTTGGGAACTGGCCAAACTGCACTAGCTCAGGGTGCAGATACTCTGGAAGGAAATCTTGTAGTTCTTAGGGGATATGTAATGGATAATGGTAGATAGGTCTTGAAAGTAGAGCCAGAGTCAAAGGCTTGTCTATAGATAGTTCATTGAGAAATAATGACAAAAAGTAAGAATGAAGAACTGGGAGATTTAAATAGAGGAAAAGGGAAAATCAAGAGAGGGATGTGTTTTAAAATTGGCAGCAAATGTTGGCAACTTAGACTTAGAGATAGATATTTTGTAGGTCCTATGACCCAAACATTAAGAGTATCTTTGATTATAGAAGCTAACATTTAAGAGCAACAATAAGAGACAAAAAATTCAAGTACAGTACAGAGCTGGTTAGATCTAGACTGGAGGAAAATAGTGAGAGTGGTAAAAAAAAAAAACAACCCACAGGAGTAGATTAAATTACCTATGAAGAATAAAATGAGATTAGAAAATTTATTTCCCATCTACAAACATTAAGGCATTATTAAAGGCACTAATTCATTAGTTTATCTGCTCAATGCCAAGCAGAGTTCTGGGGGCAGATATACAGTATACAGGTATACAGTCTCTCCTGCCATTGGCTTACATTGTAGTCAAGGGAGGAAACTAACCACAAATAAGTAAACAAACAAAAAGAATTCAAGCAATAAGGACCAAGAAGCAAATGAGATAGAGTAATATGCTAGCAAGTAACTTGGCAAGAAGGTAGGGTTGGTACTTCATTTGGTCAGGGAAGGCCCCTCTGCAAGGTGGTATCTGAACTGAGAACTGAGTGAAAGAGCCAACCCCTTAATTGAAGGAACAGAAAAAAAAAAGGACTAGAGGTAGAAAACAGTATTGGTGCTCATAAAACCAAAATCAAAAGAAGACCACATGGAGTATAACTAAGTATGGGAATTAAACATTTTTAAAAATGAAGTCAAAGAAGAATGGAGAGTTTTTTTATTCTGAGTGTAAGTGAAGTTTATTAAAGAAATTTAAGCAAGAATGGGATCTGATCTGATGTAAGATCACTGAGAGTAATTATTATATATTGCAAAATATATTAATAAAAAAGGTCACTTTAGCAGCAATGAGATAATATATACATGCACATATACATGTATATAGTCATGAAATCTATAAAGTGACAAACAAATTAAAGTTCTTTTATTGTTATCACCAGTTAGAGCTTCAATTTCCACCTGCAGATGGAATAATACTGGACAGGATTGTATTTAGGATCCCATGTATTTTATTTTTATTTATTTATTT